TATGGCAATAGTGTACAGAAAAGACAATATAAATATAAACAAGAGACTGGTGACTAGACACAGAAGATAAACCTTGCTCTCAATAAAAGAATGGAAAATACAATTTTATCTATTTGTATCCTTTAACTCAAGACCACGGAGAATGTGTAAGTAAGAAAAAAGCCCGAGGACAACTAAGCTAGGAGAGCATGGCAATTACCTGATAAATTGCTTTCTCACAGTATAGTCCAGTAATAAATATTCTGGAGAACAGTACTTCCTGCATGGCCATCCAAGGAAAGGGCAGGGGAGCCTAGAAATCATCTTGCCTCTTATTCTTGCTCTACCCAGAAAGGTAGCGAGCAAACAAATTTTATAGCTTAGAGGGAGATATAGGATCTAATTCTCTTAGAAGAAAATCATTGAGCATGATTTTCCAGTATCCTGGATGACTACTGACTGGGCTGTCGAATAAAAGGAGGCACTATGTCTTCACTTAGCAGTATTTTGTGCTGGACAGATGTGCAAATCCTCATAGGGCTTTGGCACCAGCTGCTCAACTCAGTCAAGACTTCAGCATGCCCAGAGGTAGAAATTTAGATGCTAGGGGAAATTTACAGATGCAAAATATGCCCTTATTGACTTTAAGTGCTTAGTGCTTTAGGCAGCAGCAGCGTCACTTTTTAAGAATCTAAATTTTGGATTTAAGTTCATCCTGGGCCAGTCCAGGGAGACCCAGGTGCCTATGCATTTTGTAGATCTAAGTCCTTGTCCCTAAATATGACATATACAGTTTTCTGGGATTGGCATCTTTTATGTGCCTGTTACTTCCTGACAGCAGGCAGGGTGGTTTGCTGTATCTTTTAGATGACATGTAGGGGATACTGGGATTATGCAGATCCAACACCTCCAATGTTTTGGGAATTCTGCCTTTGTCTGCATAATGCATTTTCTCTGTTGTCCCCTGTACAATTTCTAAGCTGAGAGGCAGTTTCACCATGAAAAGTTTTGATCAAAGAATACAATGAGTTTATAATTTAGAAGAAGATCCTAAAGACCTTCTTTCACTCCTTTACACAGAAAGATTCTTATTCAGTTCCATTTTCCCACATAAGGACAAGTATAAGTGGTTTAATATAAAAAGAAATGGGAGACTTTAGGTTAGAAATGCTGGAGTGCCGAACAGTACAAAACAAAGCTCAACAACATTTCATGAAGAAGGATCCTCTTGTTTTGAACAGAAGCTGTAATTTTACTTTGCTGTCATCCATGTCTATAATGAAATAGTTTTCTGCAGGCAGCCACACAGGAGTGATAGTATCCTCTTAGCAATTTACACACCACACTGGATGCAAACATTTTAAAAGTAGCAGAAATCAAATAAACCTACAGAAACTCCTACAAATCATCTGTAGATGGTATACTAATTATCCACTGGAAATGAATTCAGATGGACACCAATTAACACGTGAGCACCAATTAACACAAACAAAATTCTCAGCTGGTGTAGGGCCAATTTGGCTCCATTATCACTGTCTAATTCACGCTGTTTGACACTCCCTATCCATTACTCATGAAGAGGTCTGGTTTCCACTCTTTGGTTTAAAACACTTGCAATAACATGCAACTCACAAGTGCACCTTTAAGTTTACTTTCTGCGTATTTCACCACCTGAAGTGGTACACTGCAGTGAACGAAACACTACATTGCACTGAGAGTGTAAACAAATTAAAGTAACTCCAGGTTCACTGTTAAACTAATCTACCAAGAATCTGGTTAATAGAGTTTTGATGACCCATAATCCTATGATTTTTTTTTATATACAATGATCTACAACATAATTAAATGAAGCAAAAAAAAAAATCAATCTGCATTGAGATGTTGTATTTATATAACCTAGTTGAGATAACAGTTGCTATTTCCTTAAATTTACATTTTCAGATTTTTTAACATTTTAACTGCAATTTTTCCCTCTTTGTAGATTAAAACTTATAGGGAAAAATGGTGATTCTATGAAACTGAAATCCTCAATGTGGATGTATTTTTCTTGGGAAATGTTTAGGTACTACAGCAGTAGGTACTATATAAATGCTAATATAATCAGTTCCCAATATATATGTGTGATATTAGTATGGGTTTTTTTGATGGGTTATAAGAGTTGAAAATCATCTAAAAAACAGGATGTGGCTCTCTGCTTTTAACATCAGAATTCATAGTATGGTTTAGATTCTCCCCTGACAGCCCATTACAGGATGGAGGCAAACCCTTTTGGTGGAACCACTGGGGTAAATCTCCATGACAAGCAATACAACCTTTCCCTCACCTTTCATGCTTCACAACGTTAACAAGACTTCAAATGCTTTTCAAACTATTTGCTAAACAAAGAGCTATTAAAGTGACACTCAACTTATCTGGCCCCATGAGTCAGATGAGTGACACAGGGCTAGTCCATAGGCCAGAGCCCATGCAGGGATGGTCTACAAGTGTAACACCATGCACCAGATCTGGCCTCATGCACTGGCTTGACCCAATGTGCTGGTCACAGCTGTGAAATGACCCCATGTGCTGGGCCATCCCTAAGAGCTGGGTCTGGCTGTGGATTGCCTTGCAGCCTGGCCAAGCCCTGTAAGTTAGATCCAGATGCAGCCCCACTCTGTTCATTGACTCATCCCTGTATGCTCAATCTTGTCCCTGGCCCCTGGGGTACAGAGCCATATCATCCAGCCTACAGAGCTACTCACAAGTCTAGCAATTTGGTAAGGAGGGGAGTGTTATCAGCATTAATCATTGTGGCTCTGGAAGGAATTCATGTTACTACCACCCCCCGCCCCCCACTGCCAGATTTCCAGACCCATGAGGAAACTCAAACTGGACAACGTGGCTTAGTGAGCCACATCTGGCCTGCAGGTCATACGTTGAGTGCAACTGGGATATTACATTCTTGTGAATATTGAATTATTTGTTTCATACAATCTGCTTTAAAATCATCTTCATTAGCACTGGCTGAATTATTTTAATTTTACATTTAAAATCAAGGACAATTCCTCACTAGAACTGAAAATGTTTTATGAACAGCAAGAGAAGAAATGAAAATTTACCAACTGCAGAATTTTGACAAAATCTTTATTCAGGAAAAGGGAAGAAGACTTTTGCAAAATTCCCTTCTTCACACCGGTTTCTAAACTCGCTCTAATATTTCCATATGCATGATCTGGCCTTCAGGGAGCCCAATAACAAAGCTCTCAGTGACATCAACCAGTTGAAGAATGATTTGAACTTCTACTGTTATTTCTTGTGTGCATTTAAATATTTTAATATTTGGAATAGCTTATTAGTGCCAATTGCATATGTGTTCACTTCTGATGAGGGATGGCTTGCTTTCTGCCTCCTATTTACTTTATATCTTTCTATACAGAGAGTGGATATGCAGTATGATTACAGTAGTGCTAGGCAGAGTAGCAGACAGAAAGAGATTGATTACAAGACTCTAATTCAGTTGAGGGATCCTGATGATATCATCTAAAATGAGAGTAAAGCTCATTTCATGAAGTTTACAATGTCATCTCAACACTAAGATTAAGTTCCATCTTTATTAATCAATATGCCTCCTGATAGCCATTATAACAGGATATGGGGAAGATGAATAAGAACAGATATTATTTGTAAAATTATTTATCTAGAAAAATAGCTGGAGAACATTTTGCTAAAAGAAATCCTAAAACAAATCTTTCTACAAAAGAAGAATAGATGGCAATCACAGATACAGTCACAATTAGAATTACCTCCTCTTCTCTGTTATATATGGCAATGTTGTCCACATCAGTGGAATTTTATGACTATAGCTCCGAGGACCTCCAAAGTTTTATAGCATAGGTACCTATTGCATTTGCTATATCCCCCAAACGGTTATTTCATGCATATGTTTCCTGTTAGAGAGCCACAAATGTCAGTTCTTGCATGTATTTTTTGTATCCATGTCATCCTGTAGTTTAGAGATTAGATGGAACACAGAAATGATAGAATAGGTAGGGGTAGGCCTGAACATTTGATCAAATAAAACCTGCCAATGCACAGTTATCGTTAGCAACATGGCCGGGCACCCGAGTCACAGGGACAGTGGCAACTTCCAGTTGCTGCCACACCTCTCTGTGGCTGCCAGCAGCAGCCAGGGTTTTTTTGCTTCTTCCCCACCCCTGCCCGAAAAGTCAGCAACCAGGGCAACTGTATCCTAGTTATGCCTGACTGAATAGTTCTCCAAGGAACCACTGGAAAACTGTTATTTGGAATGCTTAGCACAAGACACTTCTGCCTGGGCAGGGAGTTGCAATACTTGATCAAGCAAGTCTTCCCTATTTTTAATGACTGTCTGGAATTGTATCTGGTGAAAATAAAACCGAAATGAATAGTCCCTCTGGGTCTAAATGCTACAAGAAACTAAGATTCCTACTCAAGAGTGCACTTGTGTTTTGTGCTTCCATCTTACTTGAATACAAGTTTACATGCTATCCTGAAAAAGGATGATTTTCTGAATCAGGACCTAATTGACTAAAATCCATATATTGTACAAATGTTTGATTAAGTTCATTATCAATGGGCTTTCCATAAATAGATAAATGTGTGTCATAATGAATTCCTTTATTCCATTATATTGAACTATTTCTCTCTGTATTTTAAGTGGTTTACTCCATAGATAATGCACTTACAAATATGTCAAGTTTACAGTGAAGTAGGGTAATGGGTAACTCACATAATATACAAGCAACAGAATCACTGGCACGTAAGCTTATGCAAACCCACTTCAGTGAAATCATACCTGCTTAGTCCTAAGGTAAAATCAGTTCCATATGTTTTGTGACGACATAAATCAGGCTTTTTCTTTCAGTAATCTCAAATGTTTACATATTGTACATCAACGACATATGATTTTAACTTTCTATATAAAACAATCATAATTTATTATCTATAAATAATGGTTATATTAAATCATTCTGAAACATCAGGTTTTTAGTGAATCCACCAACCTTTGTGTCCTTATGCACATCTGGTGGGTCCAGTACATCTATTTTAGAATAAGAACAAAGGTGATGAAATGAATCTCTTTTTGTCCTCAACACCCAGATGTTTTTAGTGCTTCCTTCTAAGACCAATGAAATGATAACATGACTCCAGGTGATCAGAGCAGAAGATTAGGCTTCTCTTCACAAATGCTACACAAGTTGAGTCTGTAAAACAAAGAAAATGATTATGATAGATGTGTAAAATCTGAAAAGAACATTATCAGAGTTTCCTGTGCAAATCTCAAAACAAAGTCCATGCATTAAGCACTGCTCTATCATGGGATTACCACCTGCAGCAAACATACATTGCCATTCTTGAAAATCATAGCCATTAATTTTTAAAATACTGCGAGTTTAGATTCTGGAACACAATTCCACTGTGTAGAAAGGAAGAAGGCTACACCCTCACAATTGCAAGCCCCTAGCTAATTTCATATCTTATCACTAAAAATAGACATATATGTACATTTTTGGCTAGCTGTTGAAGCAGTTAGGAAGAAGCATAGAAGAGATCTGTGTTATGGCTTTATATGTTGCTTTATAGATCAAAGAATAGCCAGAAGTGGTTTTCAGCCATTTTATAACTTTGTGGGGCTGGAGGAGGAGGGAATGGGAAAAGGAAACAAAGCCCTGCATTTATAATGAAATACTGTCAGACCTTGGTCTAAAGTAAACACCGCTAAAACATATAGGGAATTGTTTGAATACACTTGCGTTTTTTCCATTTTCTCTATAAATCGTGCATATTTATAAACTTAGCTAAGCATCCATATCTTAGAATTGTAGCACAGATGCAACAGCAAATATGGCATAATTGCAACCCATATATTATCACTTCTAGCTTTAGGCATGAACACATCCACTCACAAAGCAAATGAAGCTCCAAGCGCTCTGGAATTCAGTTAAGCCCTCAAAACCATTATTGCCAACTTGAACTGCCAAAAAAAATTAACTCAATAGCGATCCCATTTGTCAGGGAAGAAAAAGTTCTGAGTTCAGAAAGGAAGCTACATTGAAAGGCCCTTCTACAGCAACATCAAAATGTGTGCATTTCTTGAAGTTCCTTTCATCATTATGGTCAGCACACAATACATTCTGTTCAGTTTTTCACACTTCAAGAATAAAATTGTGGTCTAGTAGATTTTATGCACCAACTGAGGGTACAAAAATATCTGAATTCAGTTAGGATAAAATACAGATTACAGCCCAGGAAAGTATGAAGCAATAGATACAGAAGAACACCCAATCTACACTATCTGTTATTTGCAATAAAAAGTGTTTATTAAAATCATTCTATATAGACTGCATAAACCATTTATATGTGGATCTATAATACTTTATTTCTGACTGTTATCTTGCTGTTTGATATATGACTTATGATTGAGGATCCTATTTTTTCATCAGAAACATTTATTTATCAATAATTTATCAGATAAATGGTTTTAGATTGAGCGTTTTAAAAATGTAAGCAAATCAATGGTAAAGGACATAAGGCCGTATATTATAATGATATAATAACTGAAGCTTATGCATTGCACTGAACTGATAATATCCCCAAAGCTCTCTTTTTTAATAGCTAAGAGTTCCTATACTGTAATTGTTTAGGGGGGGAAATCTATCTAACTTCAACTAGTGCTTTGTGGAATCTTATCACTTCAATGAGAACAAAAATTGAAGACTAATGGACTGGCTCCAGACATACACAAAGGAACCAAACTTGTCTGCAAGTTTAATACAAGTGTTTGCTTTTGGGAAATGGGTTAGAGACATGGAAAACAGAACTAATGAAGATTAGCTAAGAAATAAAAAGTCATGATTTTCATCAACTTCAACGGTAGCTATACACAGATATTTGGTAACAATTCAGAGTCAAAGGGCATGCAGAAAAGCAGCCCTGCTCAACATGAACTACACCCTGAAACAGATGCAACTCTGAGAGCAGATCTGATAAATACACCTGCAACAGATCTTGGTCTGCTGAGGGCTGAAGGGTGCTTGACTGTGCATTCCCATATATGACAATGAAAAACTGGATGTTCTGAACCCATCTGGATGTAGCACTGACATAAAGAGGAGGAAAAGGTTATATCTGAACTAGTGACGGAACATGCAAAATGCATTCAAAAGGTTACACTCCTACTTTGTTATCATTGACATGGTGTCTGTGGGCAGAGATTGAGAATTCTCTATGGCATATTCAGATATTGTATGCTCTGTAGGAATTGGAAATTTTGCAGCTCCCTTTTGTACCATAAGCAAGTTAAAAAAACTATGGCTTGAGCAAGATAGAACTTTCCAAGGCAAGAATAAAGGATCATTTTGCACCTCTGTAGGAAAATAAAGATGTTGTGGCATCATCACTGCTACTTATGGAGACGTATACCTGGAAAACAGATTGATTTATTGTTAAGCACATGGAAAGTGATCAGTAGTATGCTGAAAATACACAGACTTGTTTACTAGTTGTGTGCTCTTCAGTCTTGGAAGAGTAAGTATTGAGGCACTGTGTTCACGATAGATTCCTCTCATAATTGATAATATGGATATGATTTCTGTTCCCTTTTGTGATGAAATCTTATATTGATTAGAACTATTACCAACAAAAGCCATAATTCACCACCTGAAAGATATGTGAGTCACATCACTATATGAATGATAAACAACAGAATAGACACAAAAATAACACTTTATATATAATAAACCATTGAAATTATGGGAAAAATATCTCTCATAATAGTGTAAATGAAAACTGTGGGGTCAATTTGCTTAACGTTAGTTTAAATTTTCTTATGACAGACTGTCCATTCATGGTATGCAAGCACTCTACATACATAAGAATGGGCATTGCTGACCAATAAATAAATACATACATAAAATCATGTGATTGAATCTGCACTTAGATGTTCTCATGTCCCATTGAAAATGGACATGCAATGTCCACCTGCTTCCCTGCTTATGTTAACTGTTAGGATTAATTACTTAGTCTCTGGCTGTTTGCACAAGAAACACTCCATCTTTTTATCTGGAATTGTAAAAGCTCGATATACCCAACCCTGCACTGGGATGCTAGTGACATGGCAGAAGCGAACATTTATGTGGTTCAGAATGAGTTTCTCCTGTGAAGCTCTAAATTATGCAGTAAAATGGCACTCATAGGAGGAGGCAAGCATGTTCTTGAGTATAGTCCATACATTGTTCCTTTAAGCAAAAAAGGGAAAAGGATGACCCAAATACTTACAGACTGGTCAGCTAATCTCAATACCTAAAAAGATACTGCAGCATATTTGGAGCATACCAAAGAATCTGTTTCTAAGTACCTGGAGGATAACGATGCAGTAAGAAACAGCCAGATTTGTCAAGGGCAAGTTACGTTCACCCAACCTGATGACAAGGTGACCGGCTTTGTGGACAGGAATAGAGCAGTGGCTGAGATCAACCTCAAAGGAAAGATTTTGACACTCTCTCTCTCAATATTCTCATAAATAAGAAAACACATTTGAGATAAAACTCCTAAGTGGATGCATAACTGATTGTATTATTCCAGCCCTATTTTCCATGATCCTCTGAGTTGCCAGGGCCAGTTAAAAAAAATAGAGAGGCCCACATAAAATATTACCCCAGTCTTTCTGGGAAATAGAAAAATATAGCTAGAAAACAGTCCTTCAGCAAGCTATGACATCCTGCCCTCTCTTTTTATCTCAGTCAAAATGCCCAGACAGCATACTCTGTACTCACATCATTGACCTCAGTCAGCGACAAGAAGGAGCAGCACTTCAGAGATACACCTTGCTGTAGGTCACCTGCCTGGTATTATCAAGTCAAGACACAAGAGATGAAGGACAGTTAGCAGCCCAACTCAATGTCATAGGCAGCCAGGTCTGGGGGTCTCCTCAGGGTCAGGAGAAGCCAGTAGGTCAGAAGCCAGGAAATTTGTCTGGGAAACCAAGTCAGAGATCCACAGGAGCAGGCAAAACACAAGGTCAAGGGAGACAGCTAGGTCAGGTATCCAGGAACTCAGGCCAGAGCTGCGTTAGGTATCTAGAGGGTCAGGCAGAATGTGAATGAGGTCAGGAGGCTAGCTGGGTCAGGTATCCAGAGTCATTAGCAGCACAAGCCAAGGGTACAGAAGCCTAGGTATAAGGTTGCATCTTGTTGCCTGAACACTTCCCCTTCCAGGTCTGGGGTTTAAACGGGAAGTGGTTAGAGGTCACCTGACTTTGGCTAGCCACTCTGGTGGCAGGGAGTGGGAAGCTCCGAGGGAGGGTTTTGGCCACTGTGTTCTGCTGGGGAGGCAATGGACTGGGGTGAGCTGCTGTGCCAGGCAGGCCAAGGCCCTGGGTTCTAGGTCATGGTCCAACATTACTCCCTTATCGATAACTCCTAAGAGGTGATGGGCCAGGTTTTCCCAGGTGGTCCCTGTGGAAGTTCTGCACTTGATCAGGGGCACAGATTTTTTCTACAGATTCCCATGTGCATTCCTCAATGCCATCTTGAGTCCAGGATCTCTTTAACCAAGTAATCTTTGCTGTGGACCATTATGGGTTGTAGAAAAGGTTGGGATTGGTGAAGGAGCATGTTTTCTGTGTATGGTTTAAATAGAGACATGTTAAAGATCAAGTGATTTTCAGTGTTGGGGGGAGCTGCAGTTCAAAGTTGATACGGAAGGGGCAGATGTACCTGTGATCCAGTTTCTGTGACAGCCAGTAGCTGTGGAGGTGTTCTGTTGACATCCATGCTTTCTGTCCAACTGAGTAAGCAGGTCCCTGATGCCAATGTTGATCTGCCTGTCATTTATAGGTGTCCTTTGCCTTTTCCAGCTGGATTTTTAGTTCCTTTTGGACTTCATGAATATGTTGTACCCAGCCTGTAGCTGTAGGGTTATTGGAGTTGATGGGCAGGGCAGGGGGTAGATGAGGGTGGAACCCATAACTGGCAAAGAAGAGTGTTTGCCCATTCAAGGTATGTGCACAGTAGTTCTAGGAAAACTAGATGAGTGTTAGTAGGGGAGCCCAGTTTTCTAGTGGCAAAACTGAGGTAGCACCACAGGTACTGTTCTACAATCTGGTTTATTCTCTCTGCTTGACCATTTGTTTGTGCATGGCATGCAGATAAGAGCTGGGCATGGACTCAGCAAATGCAGAGCCTTGCACCAGAATTGGGAA